AAATTAAGAGAGTGCAGCAAGTAGCTAGCACACAACTATCAACAAGTCATTTAGATGTGAATATTTCTCAAATTAAGGGATTAGACTTAATAGAGAATCCCATGGAAAGAGGAAACATAAAATCTGGCAGCATCAGTCACCCCATATCGTCTAATATTCATATGCAGCATCAGTCACCCAACTTCAGTCACCCAGTATGCAGCATCAGTTATGCAGCATCAGTCACCCAGTATGCAGCATCAGTCACCCCATATCGTCTAAAAAAATTCTCAAACAAAATAATATTTTGTTAATTAATTTGAGTTTGATTGAATTGATTAAATTTTGGTGTTTGTTAGTTCATGTACAAGTACAATTTTAGTATTGTGTACGATTCTAAAATCTAAAGGACCCTTCGCGTTCTTTAGAGGGTTTCCTATTCTATTTCTCACTGAAACACCTTTTGTCATGGTACTCTTCCTCTTTCCCACACATTTATTTACCTATATATTAAGTGCAATGCTTTTAGCACTTCAAACTAAGTATTTTACAGTTTTTATACGCGCAATATATGTAGCGCCAAAATTAAACATGAGAGTGCCAACGGCACTGTGCCGTTGCCCTTTTGTAATTGGTTTACTATGTGATTTGGTGCATTGTATTGCAGGCTACATGGGGTGCTTTTGAAAATTTCAAGAAACTAGAACAATGAGGGCTAAATTTGGCTTTGCCACTTTCTTGAACGCATTTCATTTTTAGGGCGTTGGACATGCATTATGCAAGCTTAAATTTGGATTTCATGTATTGTGCATGTATATGTCTGAATAGTAATGATGAATATGAAATATTATGCATGTATATGCTGAAAGTATGCTAGTTTTTCCTATCATATTATATGTATGTCTAAACAATTTTACATATATTTTATTGTGCCAACCTATTGATATGAAAATGTTGATGTGTAATCCTAGTCATCGGACCTATTTCACATAAGTGAACTATTTCCAATTGTGGCTCACAAAATTAGATCTATATCAAGTTTCGTTTGCATATTTTTGCCCTAATGAGATTCATATTTGCGTTGTGGAAATTTGTAACCCTAATAATTTAATAAGAGTTGTTCTTATTTTTCGTTCTCCATGCAAAGATATATTACTATATATTAAAATCCAGTTCAAAATATTGTTTGTTAACTATGTTTTGACGATTTTGTCCTCGTTTACTTTTCAACTTGCACATAAAATTACGAAAGTGACTTTTGTCCAGTTGTTGACTGGAAACAAAGACAGCTCATTCCTTTTCTTTTCCTTTTTTTATTTTTTTTATTTTTATTTTTAATTCTTGGCAATTTAAGATTTAGGGATTTGGAAGGGTTAGCTTTAGTTCTATCCGGCTTTCTCAGATCAAATCCAATTCTAGGCTAAATGCTATTTTTTAGGTTTTATTCCCCCCTAAACCCAATCCAACCCATGCTAAATGTGTGGGCTAAAAGCTAAATCTCAAAAGAAAGCTAAATACCACCCAGGATTTAGTCCAGATACGCATGGACTCGCCCAAACCCAGCCCAGTCTCGGCCCAAACACGCGCCGCAATCTCCCCAGCGAGCTGAAGCCTTCAGTGCCCGATAGGGGGACCACTATTAGGGTATCTGTCGGCCACCATCAGCAGCCCAACGACTCTTTTTTTTTTCATCCAACGACTGATATATTTGGACCGTTGGTTGATCCAACGGTCCAGATTCAAATTTTGTTTTATAAAAAAATGTACTTTTAAAATACATTGAATCCAATGGATGATATCGAATATAATCAAATCTAACAGTAAAAAAAAAGATCTAATTGTTGAAATTTAAATCCAACGGCTAAAATAATTAAAAAAAAAATTATTTAACTCAAAATTCACCCAAAAACTCTATAATTACCTATGTATTTGTTCAAACATCCACACAAAACTCACTTTTCTTCTACAATTCTTCAATATTTCTTTCTACCATTTCTTCCTATTTCCAAAATTTTCAAGATGGCAAGAAAGCATATTAAAGGTCGTAATTGGACATGTGAGGAAGATGTTGCTTTATGCTTCACATGTGTTATGTGTGTCTTTTGTGTTTCACATATTTTGTGTTTATACATCTCTATCATGATTTTCATATTCTTCCATAGTGTTTCATGTATCAATTTAGTAATTTTTTAATATTTATGGGAATTTAAATATTTTTAGATTAAAATGTTCATAAAATTAATTTACGATAGTCTACATTATTTTTTTTAAGTTAATTTAAGAAAAAAAAAATTAGCCTAAGTTCATTATTAAAAAATATGGGGCTAAAATTTTACGCCAAAAGGGTTTGAGCAGAAAAGCTGTTTCTGGGCTAGAACCTAATTTTTTTGAGCAAAAAAATTTAGGTTTTAGGTCAAGGGTTGGAGATGGTCTTACTATATACTGGAGAATTAATTTCACCACGTTGAATTAAATCAACTATATATTTTAATGGCTTTTTAGCCAAAATTGTTCATGAGATTCACATAACACATCACGATGGGCCCTGAGATTGAAAATCAATAGAAATGGTCCCTGAGATTGTCCACCATCCATTATTTTGGTCATTCCGTCAAAAACTTCGTTAAGTGTCCCGGAGTTCTTGGCCGAAAGTTTTGGCAATTTTCAAAGCTTCGTAACTCAATCGTTTTTTAACCAAATTCGACTCATAATATATCAAAATCAAGATAGGAAAGTATAGAACAAGATTATACCTATTTGGAAGCCCAATGGTTGCTGGAGATGGCTGGAAAATAGTATGAAAGGTGATTGGTCCGCAAGAAAACTGGAAAACTCGCTGGAAACTGGGTAAACTTTAAATGTTCATAACTTCTTCAATACTCAATGAAATCGAGTGATTCAAAAATGAAAATCATACTTCTCAATGAGATGAAGAGAATGGTACCTTTTTAGATGACTAAATCTCCGTGGTTTGGCAGGAAAACGGCTCGAAAGTGGCTATCTTGGTCTCGAGTTAGCCAATTTCGAGCCATTTTCTGGCCAAACCACAGAACATTATCCATCTATAAAGGTACCATTCTCCTTGCCTCATTGAGAAGTATGATTTTCATTTTGAATCACTCGATTTCGTTGAGTATTGAAGAAGTTATGAACGTTTAAAGTTTACCTAGTTTTCGGCGAGTTTCCAGTTTTTTTCGCGGATCAATCACATTTCAGACTATTTTCTGGCCATCTTCGGCAACCATTGGGCTTCCAAATGATATAATATTGTTCTACACGTTCTTATCTTCATTTTGATATATTATGGGTCGAATTTGGTTAAGAAATGATTGAGTTACGAAGTTTTGAAACTTCCGGCCAAGAGCTCCGTGACACTTAATGGAGTTTTTAACGGAAAGACCAAAATAATGGATGGTGGAAAATCTCAGATACCAAAGCGATGTATTATACAAATCTTAGACACCATTTTGATTAAAAAGCCTATTTTAGTCGAAGAAAAATAAGGGTAGGTAGCAAGAAGAATTTAATTGATCAACCCGTCTACCTTTTGTAAAGAAAAAATAATTGAGGTTTTACCCTAACAAAAAATTAATTGGCGAACTAGAGGAGTAGCCAACTCTCTATAAGCACACGAAAAGTCTTTTAATATCTCCATGTGAAGGGAGCATTATTGCCAGATAACGTAACCTTACTGAAGTCATTATGTTATTGATTGTTGTCATTAGCCAAGGGTTAAGAAGGATTCATGTTTTACTAAAAAAAAAAGAAAAAAAGAAAAGAAAAGAAGGATTCATGTTTGAGATAAGAACGGAGAGGTTTCTTGTGCCAGTGATTTATGCGAACTGGTTGGCTATTATAATTTGATTAAATTATTCTTCTATATTCCTGTTAATTTATGTTATTTTATCTTCTTATGTTCTTTTTCTAATTAAAAAATAAGAACAACTGGTGCAAGACAATACTTGGATTATCTTCTTATTTTGTTGATCGTACCTTCTTTGTTTATTTGCTTTAACCCTTTATTTTAAGTTTCAATTCATCATCATTCGTCAATATTTGCTCAACTAAAACTAAGCTGCAGATTAAGTTGAGTTTGACAATTAGAATTAGATCATTTCGGTTAGTTTAACTTTCGCAACCCTTTTTATAAAAAGTCAAGATCTAATTTGTAAATCCTTTAAGTTTGTTTTGATCAAGACCATCTTCAACCCTGGTTAAAACCTAAAATTTTTAACTTAGAAACAATTTTATGCTCCAATACTTTTGGATTAAATTTTTAGCCTGAAATTATTAAATAATGAATTTAGGATAATTTTTTTTTCTTAAAGTTAAAAAAAAAATTTGTAGACTATCCTTATTTAATTTTGTAAAAATTTTAACTCAAAAATATTTAGATTTCGATAAATATTGAAAAATTAGTAAACCTACACCATGAAACTCATGGAACACTATAAAAGAATATGAAACATATGAAAGAACTTTTTTTTTCAATTATTTAGCCATAGGATATAAATTTGGACCGTTATATCTTTTTTTCACCCTTGTGTTTGATCATATTAGATTTTAACAGTTGAATTTATGGATTTATAAATATAAAACTGAAAAAAAAATACACATACATGGTAAGTCAGTCCACTAACTCAAGGGAAATTTTGACCTAAATTTGCCCCAAAAATGATTTTTTGGTTAAAACTCATATTTGGCCTAAGGGTTGGAGCAAATTGGGGGTAGGTCTAAGGGGGGTGAAGGAATGGGCTAAGCCTCACAATGCATTAACCATAATAATATGGCTCAAATTCACTTTTGACGATGATCAAATCTAAAACTTCTCATTTACAAATGAAGACATAAACCATATTATTAACTCGACCAAATCAAACATATGGGAATTCTTTTTCTTTTGGTTTTGGTATAAATTAAAACAACTTGTTTTTTTTTTCAAAGTAAATTATATAGCAACTTGTGATTACAATTAGTATGTATAGGAGAATTGCGTATCCCATCATTGTGCTATTATTAAGCGAAAATTTGCACTTCATCGGTAACAGGAGGAGCAAAAGACGATCTGTATGCGTTGATTTTCTTATACATAAGCAGGTTTGAATTCCTGCCTGCAGCTTCACTTTCTTCTGCATCTCTCTTTAATCTTTCATCGGGGTTGTATCCATTTCAATTTCTACGATTTGCAACTCAAATCTATCCATTTTATGGAAGCTTTAAGTTGATTGTTATGTTTCATGCTAGCCGGAAATTGGATCTAAAATCTTGATAATAACAAATAATGGAAGGTCTCTATGGACTTCAAAGAAGTTGAGCTACTCCCTATATTGTTATTGGTTTTCCGTTGAAACCTCAATTTCTTTACAACCAATCTTATTGGAAGACAAATCTTTCTCTTATTTTTATTTTTTTATATTTTTTTTATCGTTTTTATGTTTGGAAAAATAGATGCATCCACTTTTCTGCTTCAATGATACTGATTCAAATTTAAATGCTTTAAAAATGGTTTAAGAATATGCCGATATTTCTTGCTCATGTTACAGAGCACCTCCACACCCAAAGGTAGTATGCATGCCTCTGTTCTACAATTATGGCCTATGAAAGTTCGTCTATCTTCACGTGCTAGATGACGTAACTTTGTTGATGTCACTCTGCTATTGATTGTTGTCATACGGCAAAGTTAAGGAGCGTTCATGTTTGAGATAAGAAAGGATTGGTTTCTTGTATGAATATCACATTTCATCAATTTATGCACAACTTGAGCTAGTGATTTATGCAAACTGGTTGACTATTATAGTTTGATTAAATTATTTTTTTAATCCTCCGTTAATTTATATTATTTGATCTTTTCAGTTTATTTAATCATCTTCAATGATGCGGCTTTCCTTTTAATATTTTTGAGTTGATAGTTTGGTTGTGTATATGTGTTTCAGTTTTATAAGTGTCTAGTATTAAGTACAACCTGCATTAATATTATCTTCAAACTTCAATTAACCACTTAAGCCTAATATATAGATAGTATCCAGCTCTATGAACGTCAACCACAGAGTTTATTATCAGAAGTCTCGTGTAATTAAAAGTGAACTACTTATGTCTAATTTTAATTAAGAGTGAACTACTTATGTTTAATTTTTGAATTATTGGCGTACTTTTCCAAGTGCAATGCCTCTTCTCATCCTCTTATCTTGTATAGAGCCAACTTTACAAGTTCAAATCTTTAGCATCCAAAAATTTATGTGGCATCTCTGTGCCTTTTCTAATTTAATTACACCTGGCTTTTAACTTATCTTCAACTAACACCGTTAAAAAATATAAACTAAATAATACATAAAAAAACCTAGCATTGCCCTAACCCCCACCCACCCCAACCCTACCTCGCCGGCGGACTTCCTCACCTCCTCTCCTATCAGTGCCGGCGAGCACATCCAAACCTTTGAAGTGAATCTTGGAACATAATATGGGTATTCTCAATCATACCTTATCCCACCTTCGCTTACCACCACCTTTGCCGCACTCCGACATGCGACTCCAGCACCGTGAACAGCCAACCCCTCCGCGACTGGAACTCACCAAATCCTGATCCCCTTATCTTCATCTCTCTCATTTGATTTGGAATTTTGAGTTTGTTTCGCGGTTTATTGACTTTAATTTCTGTGTTTATATTGGGGATTTTGAAATTCTGAAGCTTTTGATTTCTGGAATTCATCCCGTCTTTGGAATTAGATGGGAGGAGAGAGGGGAACACGGGAAGGGAGGGCTGGTGTGATGTGCATAGATGTGAACGCATAAGCTCAAAAGCGTGAACCGGTTGGTTGTCTTCTCCTTTTTTTTTTTTTTTTTTTTAGTATTAATAGTAACGCCGTCAAGTTGTGATTAAGTGATGTAATGTAAAAGGACAGGTGTCAAAAAAAAAAGGCACAGAGAGGCCGGGGGGTTTTGGGTGCAGAAAATTTGTGACCTAGCTTCTCTGCCTTCTCACTTTTCATACATTCTTATCCCCTCTTATTTGTGCGGTTACGGTTAAATTACGTTAATATTTTATATTACTATTATTTTTTATCTTATTATTTTTATAAAAAAATCAATATAAAATGTTGACGTGACTTAACCATGATCGTACAAAATAGGAGGGGATGAGAGTGTATGGAAAGTGGGAGGACAGAGAAGTCGGGTCCGAAAATTTGGACTCCAACTTTACACACCAGCATCTATTTGGCGGACTTGGCTTCTCTGCCCTCCCACTTCTCATACACTCTCATCCCCTCCTATTTGTGCGGTCACGGTTAAATCACGTCAACATTTTATATTACTATTATTTTTTGTCTTATTATTTGTATAAAAAAATCAATATACAAAATAGAAAGAAATAAAAGTGTATAAGAAATGGGAGATCAGAGAAGCCGAGTCCTATTTGGCTCCACTTGAGCAGTGGGTGATGAATTCAAGGTTTATGTAACAATCCCAAGGGAACGTCACGTCAGCTTGGTTTGTTAAATCAATTAGTTTGCTTTGTAGACACTTACCTGTAGAGACATAAAATAAAATAAAAATTGCCTGTAGGTTTCCGAATAATTGTATAGACAATTCTATGATTTGTTAGTTTTTTTCATTGTCGAATATTTGTTAGTTTGGGTTGTCTTATTTTTTTTCTTTGTTGTTGCCAAAATATCAAAATACCAAAAAAAAAAAAAAAATCTCTTTTAATTGTGTAGCGGGACATGATAACTCTAAAAAAATATTACAAGAATACAAGTTTATTACTTATTATTTACGGATACTACTATTTTGTTCTATATTTTTCTCTCATTACAGGTAGATTAAAAAAAATATAAGAGGGTAGGTAGAAGAAATTAATTCAATCTGACTAAACGCTCTCTTCATGAATATATAAAAGAAAATTTAATTTTTTATATTTGTAATTCTTTGATTAATAATTTTCTCTATTATCTAGATTAGTTTTGATTGTTGTCATGTTTTCTCAATGTTTGGATTAATTTTCTCTATTATCGAAGAATTTTTTATTGATGCGTCACTGATCATCATCTCATTGTCAGCAATTACGATTTGGAGTAACAAACACATCAACATTAAATGGAAGGAAGCAACGAAGCTACACATGACTTCGAAAATCCTCGCATTCAGTTAACAACTTCAATGAGTCAGGAGTTGGATGGTTTGACTCCCTTGTCCGCTTCGTGTTGCATCTACAAAGTTCCCGAACAACTACGGTGTGTAAATGAAAAGGCCTACACACCTCAAGTAGTCTCTATAGGTCCGATTCACCATGGCAAGAAAGGCTTAGAAGACATGGAAGAACACAAGAAGAGGTACCTGCAGTATTTTTTATATCGGACTGGGGTCAGCTTGGAAGATTATGTAACGAAAATAAAGGGCAAGGAAGAGAAATTGCGCAGTTGCTATGCTCACACCATTGAGTTGTGCAGTGATGAATTTGTAAGAATCATTCTTGTGGATGCCGCGTTCATCATTGAGCTCTTATTGAGGTACGGGGGGTATATCGTTCACGATAGCAATGACCGCATCTTTAACAAACCATGGTTGATAAATATTATATGTCCTGACATGCTTTTGCTTGAAAATCAGCTGCCATTTTTCATTCTTGAGGATCTCTTTGCCACTGCAGAGGTGCCGGCGACGGTGCCTTCAGTATTTGATCTCTCATACACTTACTGCAAGGTATCAACGAGTTTATATGTGAAAAGAGACGGTTTGGGATCTTCTTCTAGTTTTAAAGTAGAGCATTTTGTTGATTTGGTTAGAACCTTAAATCTACCAACGGATCAGGAAGAGAATGAAAATCGAGGGTCAGTCGAATCTCTAGCTGTACCCAGTATGACGAAACTACACCAGGCTGGCGTCAAGTTTAAGGCGAGATCAAGCAAGAATCTATTTGATATGTGTTTTCAAGAAGGGATTTTGGAAATTCCAAATCTAAATATATCCGATAGCACGGAGCTTGTACTCCGAAACCTTGTTGCCTTTGAGCAATGCCATTGCACTCCAAATACCCGCTACTTTAATGATTATATCTTCCTCATGGATTATTTGGTGAACACCCCAAATGATGTGGAATTGCTTGTCAAGAATGGAATTGTTGAAAATATGCTTGGTGACAACAATGAGGTGTCTACTCTGATCAACAGCCTTGGCAAAGGTGTTTTGGTGTTCAGAGACGAATTCTATTATGCTACTCTTATGAAGGACCTCAACAAGTACTACGAAAAGCCGTGGAACAAATGGAAGGCAGATCTGAAACATAAATATTTCAACACACCTTGGAAAATTATTTCAGTCATTGCTGCTACTTTTATCATCATACTCACTCTCATACAAACGGTGTCGTCTATTGCTAGCTAAGCATCAACACTAAGTTAGGCACTCCGTACTTTTCCATTTAATTTCTCCCTGTTATTTCCCATTTAATTTCTAGTACGTGTACTCTATATATATGTATTTGTTAATTTGCAGTAGCTTGTCTATGCGTGAAATTAAATAATATGTCTCTTTTGTACCTAAAATAAATAAATAAATAAAATGTCTCATTGCATGCACGTATGTAACTAGTTAAAAAAAAGGTAATGCTGCACTTATTACATTTTCACATATCATATCTTTAATAAAGATGCAAACATTACCTGTTTTGAAGTAACGAAGGGAAAACATGTATATGAATATGAAGCAAGAAAAATCACTCTCCCACCACACCCACCAAATATATATAACGGTCATATGGATTAAATATACATGCGTAAATACTAAATATACACTTACGTAAATTTTGTAGGTTCAAATATTTATATGAGATGATCGTTGGACAAATTTTTCTAGGCTTGCATGAAGCATACGTACATATTGAAAAACAATCTCGAAAATCCCAACCCCGAACCAGGAAAAACTTAAACCCAAAATCCCAAAATATCGGTACAACATCCCGAACTGATCGCAAAGTATTCGGTACGGAATTCAGTCTAACTTAACTACGGAAACCATATAAATAAAATATATATAATTATTATTTGGATTAAGTTAGACATCTTGGCCGTCCGTTGTTATAGGGATTCTGTGAGTCTCCTCGCACTCCCTCATCCGAGCATCCCACTCACAACGGACAGCCACCATCTCTGTCTCTCTCTCAAAGCAACTGCAGCAAGCCTGCAACTCTCTCGAACCGACGAACGAAGCCTCCCTCCACCACACAAATCCGGACAGTCACCACCACACACAGCCATGAGCCACCACGATCCAGCGATTCTCCGATTCTCTCTCTCTACTATTTCTACAACAACGGCGAGCTCAGAAGTCCCCGTTTCGCATTCCGATTCTTCATCCGTCACCGCCGCCGTGCTTGGTGCGGTCACCACTTCTTCTTTTCTCTGAAACGGAAGAGACCCCGATGATTGAGATCCCGGACGTCCAGCAAGTAACCGAGAAGCCCCGGTAATCGTCTCTATTTAGGGATTAATTTTCTATTTAGGATGCATGTTGAATTAGGGATTTACGATTTAGAGTTTTGATTGTTTCTGTGGATTTGCATGTTCGATTTCTGCTATTGGATTTGGAATTGGGTTTGATATGTTTTCTACTGGAAGCATCAAATCTAAAGGACGATAGCATCTAATACCTAGCTACATCCAGGGAGAGAAATATTACGATGGAGGATCGTAAGAAGTCATACATTCCAGTGTAAAACCATTTTGTGAATGACAATGATTATGCCGAGAATAATTGAGGGAATATTGACTTGGCAATCAAGTTAATGAAATCTCTAGGACTCTCGGTGCCTTAAGGAAATAAACATATTGGAGTCCTAATTACATGCAATCAATTAAGGGCCTTTATTAAGTAAATACAAGGAATAAGAATCATGATGAGACTATAATTGATGAGATATGATTTGGGTTGATATCCTTTCCGATAATAGGGAGGAATTGATTGAAACCCTAGCTATATAACCTAGGAGCAGTCCCTGCTTCCATACCGATAGAAACTCACGAAAACTATAAGCCTATTTCGATAGTAGAGTTCATTCAGAGGTACTGGAAGTAGAAGACTACTTCTACTTTGTTCGCAAGGATCAAAGGCTTCACCTTCATAACCATGTCTTCCGAATTCTACAGATAAGTTCAATATAATTAGTCGATCTCTATTTCATATTGATTTTGATTTATTCGTGATCCTAATGTCTTGTTGTTGTGATTTCAGATTATGTCTTACATGTGGTATCAGAGCCACACAACAAGCTTAGGGTTCGGATTAAAGGTAAGGTGTTTGATTATAATTTCATAGATGATCAAACACGTCCGCTGCTTTATCGTGCTGGGGTTTTACCTAATGAGTCTTAGTGTTGTGAAAACATATATGCGACTATGGATACATTTACACTTCTCCATTGGGTTTCTTGCCTTCTTGTTTAATTTCATGATTCCTTTCAACCTTATTATGAGTAAAAAGACGTAAAGATGAGTTTTCTTAGCCATGTCATGATATTAAGAAGCAAATCTGATTGCTTCTATACCTATTTGATGAAAGCTATATATATATACAATTTTGCATTGAATTTTGACCTTCGCCTGGTTAATTTGATAATTTCTTCTTAATTTGTTGTGACCTTAATTAATATGTGTGTATATTATCAATTTCTGGAGTTTGGAGGGTTGCCACAATTTGCATCTAAATAGTTTGATTTAATTATTTTGATATGGTTAAGATCAAGATTGACTTGGATGGCATTGTTGTTGCTGCTCGGCATTGTTTAGGGTTTCCTTGATTTGGAATTCCATTTAATTAATAATAATAAAGGGGTCTGTTTTGTTACACAACTATATAATAATAATTTCGTTATGTTGTGTGGGTTTTTGCCCTCTTGGCATTTTTCGGTGAGAATCATTCGCTGTCATGAGTAAAGTTGGATTTGGTTTATAATTGTTTTCGAATATGAATTCTTATACAGTTTAATATGAAATTTTGTTATGAGTTTGTGAGGTTTGTCTTCTTGCTTCCGCTCATGTTTTCCATGTATACATGGGTCCTTATATATGGAGTTTTCTTATGAGTTCCTGGAATTTCATGCTTCCGCTCACTCTTAATCTTAATATGAATAATTCTAATGATATTTTATTGAATGGAAGAATTGCATTAGGCATGTTGCACATTTTCTGATTATATAAGCATATGCTCATGATTAAGAAAACTTATATGAAAGAACCTTTTATAATTGAGGGAAAATATAAGGAGCTGCAAGTTTTGGTTTTATGTTCTCATGGTTTATATTTAGTTTTGAATACAATATAATATCTGCAATTTTACACTTGCTTTATCAAAAATTGAGATGCATGTGTAAACATCATGACACTAATGTCTTATGTATGCTCTCGCTTGTTAAGTTTTTGGGTCTTCAAATGTCAATAACTTGGGCTTGATAGACTTCCGTAACTCCAAATATTATGACATTCGGTCATGTCATAATATTAAATGGATTGTAGACGCTGGTATTTTTTCATGTTTTTTTTTGACAAGAAATGGATTTATGGTAATTTTTTTTAAGTGTGATACCATGTTGCTGGAATTCTGCAGACTTCTGTTGTGATATTATTTTGATATATCAATGTACCTCATAAATTCATGAAACTTTAGTATGATATACATTGAGATGTTTGTTTTAAATATGAAAATTTTCACAAGCATTAGTTTGAAAATGAATTATTGGTGAATTTTTTTTTTAATCTCGAGACTGTACTGCAGAATTTATGCGGTTTCTGCAGCAAATTCCATTTCGATTTTGTTTTTTAGCCCACTTTTAAAATCGAAAAAATCATGGAATTTTGGGTGACAATAGCTTTACATGTCTACTTCATTCCTGAACATATTCGTGCATATTGGAGAAAGATTGAAGTTTTGGTGAATTATTTAGTCTTGGGTATGTTTTGCAGAATTTCTGTTGTTTTAGCAGCACAACTTATTTCGAATTGGTTTTAGTACACTTGTAAAATCTCAAAAATTATGAAATTTTGGGAAATAACATATTTTCATGTTTACTTTATGTCTGAAAATTTTCATGCATATCGGATGAACAATGAATATTTGGTGAATTTGAAGTCTCAGGTCTATATTGGACATTTTCTGCAGTTTCTAAAGCACCTCTCTTTTCGAATTCATGTTTGGCTCGCTTAAAATTTTTAAAATCATGAAATTTTGCGAAATAGTGGCCATATATGTCTAGTGCATACCTAAAAATTTTCATGACAATCTAAAGAGAATTGAGTTTTTAGTGAATTTGCAAACTAAAGTAGTACTGCTGAATTTTGGTACTTCAAAACTAGTTTTGTTATGTGATATTGTTTCACTGATTTGTGTACATCTATTGGTACCAATTATTGTACAAGTTTATGGTTCCAATATGTCCTTATGTTATGCAAATTCTCAATACTAATGAATTTTATAAACAAAACTGATTAAATTTTGATTTAAAGATTCATTGGTTTGTTTTGCTTAAACCAATGTTTTGTTTGGTCATCAATTCTGATTATGATGATAATTGTCTTTTGAGAAAATTGGAAAGTGGAATCAGTTTACTAATTGATCATTTTGGTCCCTATTGAATAACTGAATAACCATGTTTCCTCTTTCGAGAACTCTATTGTTCAATGTCAACAACGACATACTTTTGTGTCTGATTGAATCTTTTGAGAATCATTGAATATCCAACAAAACGGTTATTTAATACTATTCTAAAAGATTATTTTGAAAAATCAAAATTCTAATTTATATGGTGAATACTTTTGTTCCAATGGGAAATTCAGGAAATCACTCACCAATTATAAATTAGTATTATAACAAATCATAAAATACTTTTAACATATGTTCATCTGGCCAAAGCTGTTGAAGCTATATGTATTTTGTGTATTTTATGTTTTGGCTAGCTATGCAGGTATTTTCTTTGCATGATTAGTTTCTGCCCAAAGGTGTAACAATCATGCAATTTGGAGTTGGTTCGATCCTCCACAACTCGACTACTTCCATGATGAATCTTGCAGAATCGAGAATGAGTAGGTAAATTTGCCAATCTTTTGCCTTAATTTTCTGTGAGTTCTAAATTGGATTAAAATTATTGTTGAAAAAAAAATAATGATGTTATTGAGATATCTATGTGTTTACTTTAATTCTACTTTGTTTTAGAATTAAAACATAAATTTTGAGTTTGGATTCTCTTATTAGGTTCATTTTAATTTTTGATCTAATATTTAACACATATGTGGGTCTTCTCTCATACACTAAAATAAATTTTGTAGCCATTGGTTGATATAATCACTTGTCACTTTTAGATCGATTAATGGTGTTGAGATATTGTTCCTTATATA